TCTGAAACATATAACAACATCTCGTGCACACGTGAAGTGAAGTAAATTTTCGACGGAAAAGAAGGGAGAATATAAARATTATGACCTTGTTACCAAAATAAATAAGTCATGCTACTAATAACCACTTATATTAATAAAACAGGTGGCAAACGAATCCGTTCTAGTTTGGCTTTGTTCTCAAGAGACAGCCACAGAGCTGAGTCAAGACAAGACAAGACAAGACAAGAAAGAATGTATATATTGAGGTCGATAATAATAGTTCAGTTATAATAATAAAACAGGTGGCGAACGCTTTATTTTAGTTTTGCTCTGTTTTTAAGAAACAACCGAAGATCYGAGACATGACGAGACAACAAAGAATGTATATATTGAGGTTGCGCAGAACTGAATGGATGCTAAAACGGGCCAATATAACTTGTGCCACACCTGCGCCGAAAGCGAAGAACTGCGTGACGGACGTTAACTTATCCATAACTTAGACATAACTTAGCCATAATCCCATTTCCCAGCCCAAATTGTTCCATAAGTCCTAAGTCTCCAGTTATGTTTTGCTCAAATCCCATATTCCTAGTTTTCTATTGTTAGGTATTTGTGATAAATTCCAAGCCCCAGTGAATGAAATCCCATTTCCCAGCCCTCTGAAAGACAACTTCCAGCTCCCATATTACCCCTTCAGGACCCYGTCAGTTTTTAAAGGAATCTCTAACCTTTTCCTTATCTTTTATTTTACTTCATTTTAATTGCATTTCTTCGTACATGATTGCTCGTATGCTTCAGTCACTCAATATCTCTATCAGCAAAATTGCAAAAAGATATTTAAAAAAAGGAAAAAATATATATCTATATATCTATATATGACGTACTGCAGTTCAAATGTAGTCGGATTGAACGTATTTATTGATTTTGTTTTATTTCCTCAGCGTGAGATTGATCCGCGGAAACCCTGAATAAACGAAGTATGAAGAAATTAAACTTTGCAACTTAGCAAGTCTACACAGTTATAATCAAGACAACAATTGAAATAAAAA